CTGAAGCATCTTTAGGCACAGGCAACATAAGCTTACCATGTTGGAACCTCAGGCTTTTCACTGACCCGCCATTCTTCCAGCTCTGCAGAAAAGGCCTAAACCAGGACTGAAAAATACCAACTCACCCAGGCGGTTCCTCTGCCAGTATGCTACCAAAATTATGTTTCAAAAACATCAGAGAAAAGAAAACCACTGGGTTGACCATACCTAGGTCACCCATCAGCCTGGGAAGGTAGGTTACAGACCTCTTAATGAGGTTCAGTCTGTTCCTCCATAACAGCTGGAAGAAACAACTGTAGATCTTCGCATAGAGAGAGACTGGAAAAACACAGACAAAGCTGACATACAGAAATACCGGGATCAGGTCAATCCTTTTCCTGTTACAGAGTTTCCAATCCTTCCAGCAAGCAACCTTGGCATCGGCATCTTGTAGCCTGCTTCCCCAATTTGCAAGGCCTTAATCACAGGGACCAAATCTGATACCTAAAACTTTAATTTCCTGCCGGAGCTCTGGAAAGGCATCCAGGAAAGGTAAAACCTTCGCCTTCCTCTCCCATCCAGAAAACCTCACTTTTTATCCTGATTGATCTTTGAGACAGATGCCACAACATACTGTTCCGTCAGTGAGACCACCTCCTCCGCCTCCTGCGTCCCAGAGATAAAAACAGACACGTCATCAGCATAGGCCACAACCCTCGGAGGAGGCTCCCCAGGAATGCCCAAAGGAACTCCACACAACGGTCTGCTCTCTAACCTCCGAAAGAAGGGATCTATTGTGAACGCGTATAGCAGAGGACTCAAAGGAAACCCCTGACGCACACCTGAGCAAACCCCAAAGGGCCGTCCAATCTAACCATTTACAAGCATGAAACTTTCAGCCCCTCTGTATAAAGTCTTTAGCCAATCGATAAAGCCCCCCTCCAGGTCATACTTACCAAGAAGCAGCCATAAGTACTCATGATTGACCTGATCAAAAGCTTTTGCCTGATCCAATGCCAGCAGGAACTTTCCCCAGCCCTGCACCATTCCAGGACCTCCCAGACAGCTAACACCACTGAAAACGTCTTCTATCCTAAACCAAACAGTGCTGATGGTGAGAAGGTATACTTGTCAAGCTGTTTATTTCTTCCCATGGCCCTGAAAAACCTTCGTTTTGTAAGCTCCCACCACTCTGACTTACTGCTGCAAAAGTCCATGTGCCTGAAAAAAATCCTCAAAAGATTGACTCACCTTCTTATTGTCCAGGAGTGCCGAATTCAGCTTCCAGGTACCCTCCCCCCTAGGTGGTGTATCGGGGCTATTCAGAGTCACAGACAGAATACAGTGATCAGAAAACTCTACCGCCTGACACACTTGGTGCTGAGAAGGCGGAGTTCCCCTGTAAACCCCCCCTATCTATTCTACTCTGGATAGCACCTTGCTGAAAAGTGAATCCCATGTCATCTGGGCAGCAATGAATGTGCACATCAACCAGACCTGCCTCTAGCTATTTTGTTTTAAAAAAAGCCATCACAGTTCAGCCTGGCTCCGGTACCTTTCCTATCCTTAGTCCCAGCAACAGTGTTAAAATGACCACCAAAGACAACTTGCTGGACTGTAAAAAGAAAAGGCTTGATCTTCATGAAAAGGCATTTCCTGTCCCATTTTGTCTGGGGCCCATAGATGTTAATCAGGCGCAGGTCCTGTCCAACCAAGTAGATGTCTAAGACCATGCTTCTCCCCATTGCTACCTCAATAATCCGCCGACAGGTTACCATGACGGAAAAAGTACCACAACTCCAGTGTAAGGCTCGGCCGCAAGAGACCAGAAGGAGGGACCACGCCTCCACTCTATCTTCACCATATGAATATCCGCCAAACTGGACAACCTGGTCTCTTGCAAAGAAAATATCAGCATCAAACCTGATGAGCAAAAATAAGGCCATGTTACAATCACTTACTGATTTTATGCTGGAGACATTAATGGTCGTCACCTTCAAAGGAGTAGGAACCACCATCAAGATGATCAAGGAACGTATTTCTTAGCCTGCTTACCCCCCTCCATATTTGGAGACCTTGCATGCTTCAGCGTCCTCTGTGACTCCTCCTCCATGGAAACCACCGACTCATCACCTGAAGATCCCTCATCCTCCACCTCAGATAATACATCTTCCCAGATTCAGGTACAGGCACATCCTTCTGCTTTTTTCCCCAGACTTTCTGTTTGCCTCCAACCATTCCATATCATTATTTGACAACCCAGACTGCAAAGCCTCCTCCCCTTCTATTCAACCATCATCCACAACATCATCCACCCCCTCTCTCTCCCGCTCACCACAGCAGGCCCCCCAACCTTCACCATCACCCCTAATATCATCCACTCCACCCCCTGCGCCTCATGCCCTCCGATCCTCAGATGCTGGGGAGCGGGGGTCGGTGCAACCATACACACTGGTCCAGCTCCCTCCACAGCCCCCACTACCCTAAACTGACACAGGAGGATCAGACACAACATCCATGGACACTGACTCAGGGGGCACAACACAAGGAGATGACACATTGGATGGATCATCAGACACTGATACCACTGAGACAACAGGGACAGAGACATTGGGGACCCCTGGCATAGCCCCCCTCTCCTCTGCCTTCTCCATGTCCAGACCAAAAAACTCTTCCATCAAAGCTGACTGGTTATGCATGGCCTCAGGGCACTGGCTGTATGAATGGCTAACCTTATCACAAAGATTGCACCCGGTGATATTGCAATCCTCAGCCAGATTCCCCAGGTCCTGACATAGAGAGCACTTCATCTCTGGACATGAGGAGGCAAAATGATCCCGAGAACCGCACTTATTACAGAGCTTGGGCTGTCCAGGTAGAACACGACAATCCTATCCTTCCCAATGAAGGCTGAGGAGGGCAGATGCTGGACCACATTCCCACAGACATACAGCCTCATCTGCACTGACCACCCACCAGTCCATATCCCTCTCTCATCCACAATCTTCGCAAAGGGGTCAGTAGCTCCCCAAATCTTCTCAGCCAGACAGCCAAGTCAGCAGAAGGGATCGATTAATTCCTTACTAGGATGGTGACATTCTTAACCAAAGGTTGGCGTGAGACAAGTTTTGGGACAAGTCCCTTCCACTCTGGAAGACCCCTGTACACATGCTCATACTTCTCCCAGAAAATATCGAGAGACTCGGGGCGTACAAAGGGCAGGTCATACTCATAGGAGACTGATCAAAGCAAAGATGTCTTCAGCTTTCAAAACCCATCGCCAAAATCTTGTCCACAACCAACCTCCTGACCAGGAGAGTACCCCCCACCTGATCTGCACCACATTCTGCCGCCTGAAAGACAGGGATGCAGATGGCAGACCTTCAGCAGACCTCCCCCCTGAGCTGACAGCCTCATGTGACCACCTCCTCCCAGCCAGAGCCCCAGCATAGGTTTTATTTATATCATGATACATACCAGACCTTAAAGCTGCACCCTGCCCATTGGTTGCAGGAGCCACAGAAACCCCGCTCTGCAGATTACCATTAGAGGTAGCAAATCACTCCATCCACCAGCACACATGCATTCCCTTTTCCAGCATTGCAAGCACTTTTATCATTCGCATTTTTCCTTTCACTCGTGCTCCCAGCAAATCCACCCACACCAGATGCTCCTGTCTCCCACTCCCGCAACATGCTCCTCTTAAGCAAAAGCCTTCCACTCCTGGTCACTCTGCCCCAGTTTCAGCAACACCTTTCACAGTGCAGCTGACATTTTCCTTCCCACCATATTCTGCTGCATTTGCAGACATCAGCAGGGATTGTTCAGCCAAAATGTCGGTTCCCACCTTTACCTTCCCCCCCAGCACTACATCCCCAGTCACAAGAGGATTTCCCTCCAAAACTATGCTGTGCACATGGCTTTCCATAATATAGTACACACTGTCACTTTTAATAAAGCATGGCTTTTCAATCTTTTTTTCCTTTACAGGACCAGGTACAGAGCCCTCACCATCAACCTCATCAGCAGAATCTTCTGAAAACCGGAAGGTTCTTCCACTTAGGGGAGACTCCATCTCATTAATAAACTTTAGCAGCCCTCAACCATTTTCCTCTACCTCCTGTGCTGTTCTTCCAGCTTGCTGGGGAGGGAGCGAGGCAGAGGCCGCCATTTCCTCTGGTGAAGCAGATCTTGAGGTGGATGGGATAGCAGGGGCAGCATCCTGGACCCCCTCCTCACTCTCCACCTGTACTGCCACCACCAATGCTGAAGGGTGTCTCCCTTCATTTTCTTGAACCTTTCCTCATTCTGGAATTTCTCCTTGAACACTCCGCTCTTTTCCTTTAATGCTGTGACCAAATTCTGCTGCTTCTGGATGGCGTCCTCCAAAACTTTCAGCTCCGACTTCAGACTCTGCCGCTTGCTGCTCCATGCTTTGTCATGAAGAACTTTCTTCTTATAAGCAGCTTTCAGGTTCATCAGCTTTTCCTCCTCCTTTGCAATTCTCACCAGTCAGCAACCCACTCTCTGAAGGCAGGGAGGGATTCCCCTTTTTTAGGGCCACAGCCAAGGTCTTCAAGTGTAGGTGAAGCTTGGGAGCGCAAGCTGAGTCCCTCAAGAGGAACATGGTCTGGGCCTCACCCAAAATCAGTCATCTTGCTGGGACCAGGCAAGCAGGCCTGGCCCCCTAGTGTCTGGAGTAAGAGAGCAACTGTACAACCAACCTCTCTGGTGCAGAGACTGATGTGACTTCCTCAGTGTTCTCTGTACTTCACTGAAGGTGAGTGTACCAACCACCAGTGGTACACAATGCATACTAAGCAAACCTACAATGCTGATCAGTTTGAAACTAATTAACTGGTTTACCTCTAGAATTCCTTTAAGGTGCAAATGTATATCTAAAATGTTGACTTCAATTAATTTGTCTCTATACAGGAGCATGCAGGTCAGACTGGGAGAGCACAACATCGCTGTCTCTGAGGGCACCGAACAGTTCATCAACTCCGCCAAGGTCATCAGAAATGCCAACTACAAACTCCAGAACCCTGGACAACGACATCATGTTGGTCAAGCTCGCCTCTCCTGCCACCCTCAACTCCTACGTCAGGGCTGTATCTCTGCCCACTGGCTGTCCTGCTGCCGGCACCAGCTGTCTGATCTCCGGATGGGGCAATACCCTGAGCAGTGGAAGTGAGTCAACACCACCGTAACATGATCTATTACTTACATAGTTATTCTGGTTGAAAAAAAGATACAATTCCATCTAGTTCAACCAATAAAAGGGAAAGAAAAATTATAATCCTATATACACAATCCTATACCCACCATTGATCCAGAGGAAGGCAAAAATTACTGATATTAACCTCCTCGGCGGTATGATTCTTTCTGATTTTTTGTGCTGAAAGTGGTACCATTTTTTTGCATGGAAATATGTAGTTTTTTATTGTAGGCTGTAATTTTTAGGAATAACTCACTGAAATCTGTACGAACAAGAGTCTAGTAAACATCCCGGGTATGATAAAATTTTTAAAACACGAAACCATAAATTATAGATCGCTGAGCAAAGTCGCAAAATCGTTTTCAGTGTCTGATGATGAATTTCCCCCACGAATCATTATCACTCAATTCTGCAAGTGGTTCTGATTTACTATCGCTGCTCTAAAACCGCTTTTGACGTAAAGGGACGCTTTTTGGACGCCATGGACTTTTCTAAGTTTCCAGGCAGCAAAAACATTCAAAATGCAGGCAGGGCGCCGGACAAAGCACTCGGGACAAAATATATGTGAAATGCATTGAAACAGCAATGACAGCAAAAATGTCATTTTTTAAAAAATTTCAAATTTCCCGCCGGTTCCGGCGCCCGTACGTCCCGACGTCACAGGGACCGGAACACAGAAGCCGGATGCCGGCATTAGCCGGAGGAGATGGCCGGGGACGCTGCAGGGGACACATCGTGGGAGCGAAGGACAAGGTAAGTGCTGCAGGGACCCCCTGAGCAGCGCCGCTTGGTAAGCCCAAGTGTAGCTCGGGGTTACCGCTTTTGGTATAGGAATTTTACCCCGAGCTACACTCGGGAATACCGCTAAGGAGGTTAAATGAGGCTAAGCTTCTCTAGTAAATTTTGTCAAAATTAGAACATGTAGGCAAAATCATTCCTTTGAGGAAAAATCACCTAAAATCCTAACTCCTGGTAGTTAAAAATGAATTAAGTATGTCTCCACCCCTCCAGCAAAGAAAGATCCAGTGTTTGTTTTGCAAAGGGATTGGAAGAACACAAAGTGATGTTTAACCTAATCGAGAGTTCTTCAGTCTTCTTCCCTGAGGTTATGGTTGTGGTGACCAGTCCTCCAAAGCCTCTCCTCTTGCCAGTTCTCTGATCCATCTTGTCACTGTCCCTCTTACTGAGGTCATCACATACAATGAAGGACCATCCCAGTGACCAGTGGCCATGTCATCATGGTGGCTGCTGGAAGGAATGCCTAACCACATTACAGCATTGGAGGGAATAGGACCTAACATCAGCCTGTCCTGGGGCAAAATAGATATTATTCTATGTTATCTATTCCCCTAGAAAGGAAAATGAGCATTGGATCCTCCCATGTGCTGGGAGGAGTCAATTTTAGTTAGATTTACTGAAGAAAAAGAAAAATATAATAAAGTAGAAAAAAATAAGAAATATATTTTGAAATGTTTTTTAAACTTAGAACAAGTGTCCCAATAGGACGATTTCTCTTTGGATTTCTCATCATTTCCAGTCCTGCTGACAGTGGTCATCAGGACAAATAAAGAGTGTGAATGTTTTCAGCAAGGACACAGACAACAATAAAACCTGAAGAGTGTTTTAACCACCCCCCATCCCCACCCATCACCCCTCTATCCAAAAAAGTTTGGACTGCAACTACATTTTAATATTGGTTGCTTCTTCTTAACTGAAAATACACACAGATGTCTATAACTGGAAGGGGCTGAGATGATGGGCCAGCTGTCTATGTGTGATCCGTGTTCAGCTTTTATTATTTAGAGCCGGGGGCGGACTGACCATTTGGAAACTCGGGCACTGCCCGAGGGCCCGGGGTCAGTAGGGGGCCCCATGAGATGCCCCTGGTACCTTTTTCATAGGCTTTTTTGAGTTTGGGCAAGGACACAGGGGCCCCATGATCCCCTATTGCCCGGGGGCCCCATGAGTTGTCAGTCCGCCCTTGTTAGAGCTATTCAAAACATAGACTGTATAAGTTATTCACAACATAGTTGCAAGTCACCGTGGGGAAGAGCTGCAGAATTCACAAAAGCAGCACCTACTGGCTGCGAGTGGTATATATAATAATACATAATTGGAATTATGTAATATTTCTCTGAATACAAATTTTTACAGCGTTTGTGTTTTTTTTTTAAACAGATTGGGGTTATTTATTAAAATTTGGTGCAATTCTGCAAAGAAACCAATCAGCTTCCAGGTTGTATTGCCAAAGCTTAATTGAACAAGCTGAAATTAGAAGCTGATTGGCTATCGTGCGCAGCTGCACCAGATTCTGAGTGCACCAATTTTAGTAAATCTTCCCTATCTTGTTATTTCTCCTTCTCTCTCCAGCCAATATTTTTTTAACTGCCATTTTGTTTTATTTGTAGCCAACATGCCTAACCTCCTGCAGTGTCTGAACGCCCCCGTCCTGACTGCCACCCAGTGTAGCAGTGCCTACCCCGGAGAGATTACCAGCAACATGATCTGCGTTGGTTACATGGAGGGCGGCATGGATTCCTGCCAGGTAATTGCCACAACTTATTTTAATTTTGTATATAAAGCTGCACTGTTCAAATAAATGTGTCATCTCAAACAGGTGGTAGATTTCATAGACTGGGAAATTTGTTTTATTGATATTAGCTTAAATGTAAAAAAAAAAAAAATTCAATGTATAAATTATAGCCCAAATGTTCAGGAAAAGTTTTGAAACAAAGATTTTTTCTTCGCAAGTAACTGCAATAGTTCTTGTTCAGCAATATTTATTATTAGTTATTAGATGGAAATGCAACTATTAAAATGAAGGCGATACTGGAAAATACAAGTATAACTGAACCTAAGAATTAATATGTATTATCTTTCAGTTTGCCAGCCCTTAGATGTGGTGGTTGCATTAGTTTCATTTTCCAGGCTAAGAATATTTTTAGCAAGTACAGAAATTAACCATTGATCCTGCCAGAAATGCAGTTTCCTTGTCGCTTCCTGTGAGATAAACTGGAAGCAAACACAGGTGTCCGTGTATGAACCAGCGGTAATAGATCGCTGCTCAGTTCTCCGGCATTCTCGGAGAACACAGTTCTCCTGTGAATGCAGTTTATGAAGCAGTTCTCAGAACGAAGGGAGAACGGTCTCCAAACGCTGGAGAACGGTCTACAAACTCTGGAAAACGGCTCATTTTACTATAATCTCACGAGATTACAGTAAAAGATCAGTTTACTAAACAGAGGTAAATTATCTCTGCTTAGTTTTCGGTCCCTCCGATTCTCCAGCTCTGGGCTGCAGAATCTGGAGGGAGAACACAGATCTCCAGAGAAGGGCTGACATGATCTCCTGAGTGTCATAAACTGTGAATGACCAGAGAATAGCTGAGATCTGTTGAATCGCAACTATTCTCTGTGTCATAAAAGGACACCTGTGTCTTATCTTGCTTGTGAAAGCTTTAAGTCCCATCACCCCACTTATAATAGCAAGCGTAGACATGCTTGAAGTCCAACCTTGGTGGCCACCATGGCTCCTTCCATAGATACACTGGAGGTTTTGAGTTTAGCTACTCAGGGGCAGAAAGTGTGTCATCCCCTGGATTACCAAGTGGAAATAAAGATATAAAAAAACTTAAAAAAAAAAGAAAACCAATGTAACCACCACATCTAAATACTTGTAAGATATTACATATTTGAGGATGCATTTAGATTCACTTTAACTGTTTGGGTTCCCATTGGGAAAATTCCTTTTTCCCTTATCCTGGTGACCACCGAAGAAGTGGGGCACAGACAACAGTAAAAAAAAAATTGAAAAAAGTGGAAAAATAGCACAGGACCAGGGGCGGACTGAGCATTTGGGCACTCAGGCACTGCCTGAGGGCCCAGGGTCAGTACGGACCCCCATGAGAAGCCCCTAGTACCTTTCATAGGCTTTTTTTGGTGTGGTTTGCATTGGTGTGAGGACACAGGGGCCCCATGATCCCTTATTGCCCTGGGCCCCATGATCCCCTATTGCCTGGGGGCCCCATGAGTTGTCAGTCCGCCCCTGCACAGGACTCATATTGTTATCTCACTGGTATTGCTATCTTAAATCAATGATGTTGATGAAAATGATCTGGTTCCCAGGCAGGCAGCTTCTACACCCCAGAGAATTTCCATGGTCTCCTTGGCTTACAATGCAATACAACAAAAATTGAAATGAAAGCACCAGACCACTGCTAAGTGGTCAAGATACAACCTTATTCTGATAAAAGTCAGGAGCACAACCCCAAAAAGGCATCCAACGCATTTTGGAGGTCCAAAAACACCCCCTTCATCAGGACTAGAAAGAACATAGAAAGATTCCATATCAATCTGATAGCAATGCAATATCCCCATCTCGGGTTTATATTTAAAGTGAAATGGTCAGTAGTATTATTTATGTATATAGTTGGATGCCTTTTTTGCTTTATTTTTGGAACAATAAAAGTGTGGTAACCCCATAGCAATTATTTAAAATTCAGATAACTAAGGTAGAATCAGTAGAACATGATTTTTTGAGTACTATGGCCACTGCACTTTGTACCTAGTGCTTTCTCTAGTCCATTTACGTCTTGTTTGTGATGTTTGTAGATTGTTCTTGGACAACCTCACCATCAACCCTAATTTACCTAACTTTCTAAAAATGCCTTTTCTGTTTTTCAGGGTGACTCCGGTGGCCCCGTGGTGTGTAATGGACAGCTCCAGGGTATTGTCTCCTGGGGATACTGGGGATACGGCTGTGCCCTGAGGAACTATCCCGGTGTCTACACCAAGGTCTGCAACTACAACTCCTGGATCGCCAACACCCAGGCCGCCAACTAAACTTTCAAAGCAAATACTTATTCAGATCATTCTACTTTCTGCTTCTAGTATACATCAAATGGTGTGCTAGGCCTGGACTTCAATCCTACATCCTGTAATGCCTGAATAAATATATTTCTTGTTAAAATAAATGAGTGTAGCTATGTTTTATATTACTATAAATATTGGTTCTCCATTTGTTGCTTGTCTTGGATATAAAATATGGATAAAACCAACATACAGTATGTGATGCCGACTGTCACTATAGTAATCATGAGATTTTATCATGCAGCGGTAAATAACCACTGCTCAGTTCTCCAGCATTCTCAGAGGAGAGAGTTCTCCTCTGAATGCCTTTTTATGAAGCGATGTACCGTATTTTTCGCCATATAAGACGCACCTGACCATAAGACGCATCTAGGTTTTAGAGGCAGAAAACAGGAAAAAAAAAAATTCTGAACTAATGGACTGCAGACACAGTACAGGAGATGACCAGAGACTGCGGACAGCACAGGGATGACCAGAGACTGCGGACAGCACAGGGATGACCAGAGACTGCGGACAGCACAGGGATGACCAGAGACTGCGGACAGCACAGGGATGACCAGAGACTGCGGACAGCACAGGGATGACCAGAGACTGCGGACAGTACAGATGACTGCTGACCTTTGGGGAGGTGGGGAGCGGGTACCTGAATTTGACAGGTACCCGCTCTTACTTCCGCAGAGTTTTTGTTTGATCTTACCTGTTCCTCGATCCAGCCGCGCGCTGTCTTCCTGGCTTCTGTAATGGCGCTCGGCATGACAGCCGGGTGCCCAGTGCGCATGAGCGAGAAGCACTTGCGCTTTGTGATTGGTCCGGCGGCTTCTGGGATCTGTCATGTGTCCCAGGTACCGCCTTACCATTCACAAAAAGCACCGCTTCTTGCGCATGCGCACTTGGCACCCGGCTGTCATGCCCAGTGCCCACACTACAGAAGCCGGGAAGACAGCACGCCGCTGGATAGAGGAACAGGTAAGGTCCCGTTGCAGAGCTGAGCGGCCGGCCCGGTATTCTGACACGGCCGCGGTGGAAATACCGGACCGGCCGCTCCATATTCGCCTTATAAGACGCACTGACATTTCCCCCCCAGTTTTGGGGAAGAAAAAGTGCGTCTTATACGGCGAAAAATACGGTAGATTGCTTCTCCGAATGAAGGGAGAATGTGATCTACAAACGCTTTGAACGCTGGAAAACGGCTGCTGTTACTATAATGTCATGAGATTACAGTAAGAGATCAGTCAAACACCGCTTACTAAGCAGCGCTAAATTACCACTGCTTTGTTTGTGGTTCCACTAACCATTTGGAAACTCGGGCACTGCCCGAGGGCCCGGGGTCAGTAGGGGGCCCCATGAGATGCCCCTGGTACCTTTTTCATAGGCTTTTTTGAGTTTGGGCAACAAGGACACAGAGGCCCCATGATCCCCTATTGCCCGGGGTCCCATGAGTTGTCAGTCCGCCCCTGGTTCCGCTGCTTCTGGGCTGGAGAATCTGGAGGGAGAACACAGATCGCCAGTGAAGGGCTGACATTGTTCCTTCATATACAGGCCATCTGTGTTCTCCGCTGATCATCTCTGTTTCCTAAACCTCTAATCATCGGAGATCAGCAACCATCTTTAGGATCACCGCTGATCTCTATTTCATAAAAGGACACCTAAATGTCATGTAGGTTGGGGGTGGGAGTTATTTGGTGGAGGGCAAATACAGTAGCTTTAAAGGGTAATTCCACTTTCCTGGGGATTAAAAAAATCTAAATCAAATAAACAAAATAATATTATAGCATATACAATTGCTACACAAGCCATATTGAATTTGAATGCTATTAAAAATTAACTTTCTTGTTCAATCTGCAGCCGCTCTAATTTTCTGTAAAATTCAAGGCAACCTAGAGGCCTTCTATACACAATTGGTGTAAAGAACTTCCCCAGAAGCGCGGCACTGTTGGAGATATATTTATGTATTTAGTACAAGAGGTATAAGCAGCAGTAGCAGGGGCAGACTGACCATTTGGAAACTTGGGCACTGCCCGAGAGCCCGGGGTCAGTAGGGGGCCCCATGAGATGCCCCTGGTACCTTTTTCATAGGCTTTTTTGAATTTGAGCAAGGACACAGGGGCCCCATGATCCCCTGTTGCCCGGGGGCCCCATGAGTTGTCAGTCCGCCCCTGAGCAGTAGTGACACTAGTCTAATTTCAGGTTTTTGATAACACAGATAATTGAGGTAGAGCTGATTTACTATTCCTTTTTATTTATTTATTTTTTTTGAGTGGATTTATCACTAATCACATTTCTGATATATAGTGATAGTATTATACTCTCTCCTAAAGTGATTGCACTGTTCTTTGGGTTTCAATATTTGGAGGAACTGTTTTCTTTTAGGAACCAAACTTGTCTTTGCTGTCTCAGTTTTGTCTGATACATAGACTGCTTCACAGACCAAGGGTGTTGTCAGGCGAGCGCCCCTGTTGCTGGTGACAGATCTCCAGTGACAGGATAACTAATAGACCAACAAGATATAAATTCATAGACGGTCCATATAGTGAACTTGGTGTACAGATATTCACTTTCAGGTCACTACAGAGGACAAAAGGGCGCTCTTTACACCTGGAGATTAAAATTTTACATATGGAAAGATGTCTTCACAGTAAGAGCTGTGAAAATGTGCAATAGACTTCCTCAAGAACAAGTTCTGGCCAGCTCAGTATATTGTTTTTAAAAAGAGCTGGATCCTAAATGCAAAAAATATTACTGGATAGTAACATTTTAAGGAAACACCAGGAGTAGTTGATCCAGGGAATCTCCAACTGCCTCCTGGAGAATCCAGAGGGAATTTTCATGTCCCTGCTGAAGAAAATTGGACCATCCTTAAACATAGAAACAAAGAAAAGTGATGGCAGAAAAATACAGAGTGGCCCCATCGAGTTTGCCCGTTTTTTTTTTTTTAGGTATTTTTGGGGGGGGGGGTTGTCTGTTTTTTTTTTTTTTTTGTTTTCTTGTTAACTTTTTTGTCTGAGTATAGATCTATGCTTGTCCCAAGCATGTTTGAAGCTATTTTCTGTTGACTGGCTCACTGCCTCTTATAGGGTTGTTTGCCTTCATCTGGATCAACTGTGGGTAAAAAATTGAACAAATGGAGGTTTTCTAATAATTTATTTTTTCTATTGGTTGAATTAGATGGACTTGTTTGTTTTTCCAACCTAACTATTTAACGTTGTAACAATCCATTCCAGCAACACATTGGGGCGTATTTACTAAAATTGGAGCATGCAAAATCTGGTGCAGCTCTGCAGAGAAACCAATCAACTGCCATTTTATTTTTGTTAAAGCTTAATTGAGTAAGCTGAAGTTAGAAGCTGATTGGCTGCCATGCACAACTGCACCAGATTCTGAGTGCTCCAGTTTTAGTAAATCTTCTCCATCATCTCCTTAACCTCCCTGGCCGTATTCCCGAGTGTAGCTCGGGGTAAAATTTCTATACCAAAAGCGGTAACCCCGAGCTACACTCGGGCTTACCATGCGGCGCTGCTCTGGGAGTCCCTGCAGAGCTTACCTTGTCCTTCGCTCCCGCGATGTGTCCCCTGCAGTGTCCCTGGCCATCTCCTCCGGCCGATGCTGGCATCCGGTTTCTGTGTCCTGGTCCCTGTGACGTCGGGACGCACGGGCGCCGGAAAATTTTAAATTTTTTAAAAATGTCATTTTTGCTGTCATTGCTGTTTCAATGCATTTCACATACATTTTGTCCCTACTGCTTTGTCCGGCGCCCTGCCTGCATTTTGAATGTTCTTTCTGCCTGGAAACTTAGAAAAGTCCATGACGTCCAAAAAGCGTCCCTTTAGGTCAAAAGCGGTTTTAGAGCAGCGATAGTAAATCAGAACCACTTGCAGAATTGAGTGATAATGATTCGTGGGGGAAATTCCTCATCAGACACTGAAAACGATTTTGTGCGACTTTGCTCAGCAATGTGCGAATTTGCCTCTGTATTTCAAATTTCAGTGTTTTTGGTTTGATTATATTATTGAATTAAATTTATTATTATTATATTATTATTTTTTATGATTATTTATTAAATTATAATTTATGATTTCATGTTTCAAATTTTATCACACCCGGGATGTTTACTAGACTCTTGTTCGGACAGATTTCAGTGAGTTATTCCTAAAAATTACAGCCTACAATAAAAAACTACATATTTCCATGAAAAAAATGGTACCGCTTTCAGCACCAAAAATCGGAAAGAATCATACCGCTGAGGAGGTTAACCTTCCTGGAGGTAATCCCGAGTGTAGCTCGGGTTTAATTTACAGTACCAAAGGCGGTAAACCCGAGCCACACTTGGGATTACTCCACAGTGCTTCTCCTGCTTTCCCCTGATCCCTACCTTGTCCCGCGATCCCGCGATGTCCTTCCGCTGTGTCCTCCGGCCGATGCCGACATCCGTCTTCTGGGTTCCGTTCCCTGCGAGCGTCGGGACGTACGGGGGGCGGAACCGGCGAGAAATTTAAAAAAAAGTAAAAATATGACATACACACGATACACTGTAATCTGTTAGAATTACATTACCTGTATCAAACCATTTCACATACATTTTGTCCCGAGTGCTTTGTCCGGCGCCCTGCCTGCATTTTTACTGTTCTTTCTGCCTGGAAACTGAGAAACGTCCATGGCGTCCAAAAAACGTTCCTTTAGGTCAAAAGCGGTTTTAGACCGCTAGAGAACAGCGATAGTAAATCAGAACCACTTGCAGAATTGAGCGATAATGATTCGTGGGGGAAATTCCTCATCAGACACTGACATTATTGAATTAAATTTATTATTATTATATTATTATTTTTTAGAATTATTTATTATATTATATTTTATGATTGTGTGTGTTTATCATACTGGGGATGTTTACTAGACTCTTGTTTGGACAGATTTACAGTAAGTGAGTTATTCCTAAGAATTACAGGCCTACAATATAAAACTACAAATTTCCATGCAAA